TGTGTGTGTGTGTGTGTGTGTGTGTGTGTGTGTGTGTGTGTGTGTGTCCATACACATTCTCATGGTCATCAGACTTCTCTCACAGCTTTGCCAGGGTACAGACGTGTTAAACATCACAGGCTCAAGACATTGGGCACGCTTGCTGGTACTACAGATAGCCCCAGTTTTTCAGAATTCGACATGTATGGAAAACATGACATTTTACTGGTTAAGGTGACTTACGAACATAATTAGCACAATGTTTCCTTCTTCAAAGATAATGAAAATAGACAGAAATCTGAATAGATGCAGGGGAAAAAAGAAACAAAGACAAGTGTTTTCCTGAGAGCACAGGAAGGTTAAAAGATAATGTAATATCATTAATATCCACACAGCTCTTTGAAGAAGTGGCTACAAGAAGGGATTAAAAAAAAAACTGGGAAGGACACATGGATGCTGTGGGCAAGACAAAGTTCCAGGCTTGTGAGACAGCATAGAAGTGAATTTGTAGACCAGCAAATACACAAAAGTTAAAGTTTATGATGGGTATTGCCTGAACTGAATTAGAGGCCATTGACAAGAAACATAGACAGACCATGTCCATGGGTCTTAACAAATGAGGACCTCCCATCTTTTCTCCAGACATTATCATTACTACCTAGACTGAAAAATCAAACAAGATCTGTTTTCCTTTATTAGCCTCAGGCTGACCAATGTTTGCAGCTTCAAAGTATACCCTAGATACATTAAAGCTATTTTTACAAGCTCAGTGACTTCCTGGAACAAATTTTTGGACAGCTTTCAGACTATCTTTCATGTACTTTGAAGTACTCTACAATACCATTTTGTACCTTATTTTTAAAATGCCAAAATTACTGAATGTAATCTGCCTCTCTTGTACTGAATGCAGCTGAATCCATTAGACAACTCTTTCCCCATAATTAGAATGGAAATGTGACATATGAAGCTTACTCAGAACCACTATATACTGGAAGGGCTCAAAAATTCAACAGCTAGATCAATACAGAATGATTCAAAGAAAAATTGCATATTGAGCCATATTCCATAATAGAAATGGCCATCTTCTATTCCAAGATTTCATTAGATATGGAAAATTGCTCTTCCAGACTATTAATTTCTGCTCTCTAAACCATGTTCCTTCAATTAAAAGGCTTAAAATTTAGAAAGAGTATTCTGTCTCTACATTGAAAATTTTTTCAACTTTACACTTGGAACTGAAGAAAGCTGAGCATAGATAACTTACAGTGAAAACTACCAGTTTAAAGCATATTAAAATTATTAAGTTCTTAGGGTTTTTTAAGAGATGTGCCAAAAGGTAAACCAGAGTCAAGCCAATTTCCCAATAGTTCTTCCACTACTACTTAGTTATATATTAGTTAGGCTTTTCTACAGTGAGCTGTCACTTACCATACCACTATCATATATCAGCGAGCTATGCTGTTACTTCAAACACACACCAGGAGTATGTGCAGTTTGTTCTGTTTCTCTCCATCACCACACACGTATACAGAAGAAAGATGTGCTCATTCATTGGACCAGTAAATGCCAAAATCCTCCCCAAGATTTACTTTCTCCTTGTCTTACAAACAGATCCTCTACTTATTCCTGCAACCCTGACTTCCCTTCTAATAAACCCTTATTCTTGTGTCTGCCCTCCTGGTATCTTGCTGAAAATACCAATATATAGTCAAATCACATTTTTCTTAGCAAACTGAAAAAAATCTTTTTGACTCCTCCC